TTGACGTGAGAGAACCAATGAGGTTTCATCTCGTGCGTGAAGCAGCTTTGGTTGAGCTTCTGTTTATGTTCGCTGATCAATGTTAATTGATGATGTGAATAAAAGCCTAAATTAAAACTGTTCATCATATAAAGCGATTGTAATAGATTTTTTTTATTTACATCAAAACATGTATAAGACCAACAATATTCATCCAAATGTTGTCCCAATCATCCTACCAGAGCTGCCATTCATTTTCAGCCTGCATTGCAGATTTTTTTGCAGTTTGCAGTTTGCAGACACTTTGCAGTTAGCGAATGAGCAAATTCAAATTGGCTAAACGAAGTAGCATTACTGATGACAATTATTAGTGGTTTTTGAAAGAACACAACAATCTTAAAGCACCCTGCTACTTTAAATTTGAAACTTTTCAACAATTCCCTTTTTTCACATCGCACTCCCATCATAGGTGTTATGGAGAGTCTGTTGTAGAGCGTTATTGTTCTGTTGTAAGCCAAATATAGGTTTTTAGAGTATCGTGCACAGGCTGAGCATGCAGTGTGCCTGAGGCCATTGGGTGCTGGACGCTTTTGTGAGGTGCTGTTGATGAGGAACAGAAAAGCAGACGCACACACACTGACTGATTTCACTGCAGCAAGAAGGAGCTGCATTGCATTAACATGGCAGTCTCTAGGTCTTTTCACACCAAATTTGTTGCAACCAAACAACATGGAGGTATAAAATTCGCACTGGCAGATAAGATTTTGAAAGATTTTGTCTTTTTCTGAAAGTTCAGATGGCAAAAGAAGTTAAAGGGTTAGTTCACCCAAAGTGAAATTTCTGTCATTAATTGCTCACTCTCATGGCGTTCCTTCGGAACACAAATTAAGATTTTTTTGATGAAATCCGAGAGCTTTCTGAACCAGCAATATACTGCAACGTTATTACCACTTTCAAAGGCCCAGGAAGGTAGTAAAGACTTCATGTGACTACAGTGGTTCAACCTTAATGTTATAAAGCGACGAGAATATTTTTTGTGCGCTGTTCTGGCTGCACTGTGTTTACAACGGGAACAGCGTCAGAGACTGACAAGGAAGAGAAGAAATTGTTGAATAAAATCGTTATTTTCGTTTTTTTGCGCACAAAAAGTATTCTCATCACTTTATAACATTAAGGTTGAACCACTGTAGTCACATGGACTATTTTAACGATGTCTTTCCTAGCTTTCTGGGCCTTGAAAGTGGTAATAATATTGCAGTCTGGAGGGATCAGAAAGCTTGGATTTCATCAAAAACATCTTAATTTGTGTTCCGAAGATGAACAAAGGTCTTACGGGTGTGGAACGACATGAGGGTGAGTAATTACTGACAGAATTTTCATTTTTTGGTGAATTATCCCTTTAAGCTAAACAACAAAAACGAGCTTCATTATATGTCTTTTGCAATATTTTGTTTTATATAGTTTATAATTTTTGCATGTTGCACTGTTTTGTATTCTGATTTTATGTGAAAAGGTTTTTATTTGATCAAAATCTACAGTCTAGCATATTCAGCACGGAATGTATGCAAAAATATATATATTATTGAATCTTAAGCATGACTGTGCCCATTCTTCAAAAAGAGATGAACATAGCCTCAAACAGGAGTCAAACCAGACTCTTGTCAGTTTCAGCTGTGCCAAATCAGTGACACTCTTATGACAGCATGAAAAGTTCAAGAAGTTTTCTAATGCGGTCTCCCTATCCCATAATAATACACCAGACACATTCACACATTCCAGCAATTCTGTTGCCGTGGCAGTGCCGTCACCTGCTTCTCTGCTGCCTCTAAGATGGGGTGCCGTGATTTTCCAGCGAAGCCAACTGCTAGATCTGCCTTCAATCCCAGAATTCCTCACACCTGCAGTGGATTAGCTGTCCAGAAGGACAGTGACGAGTCTGAAAGAGTCTTCACTCCACAGCTCCTCTGTCTTGGGAGACAGAACACTGTTTATCTGTGGTCGTGTTCACATTAGGCGTCTCCTGCAGAGCGATTTATTAAAGTAGCAGCACTCTGTGAGAACAACAGCACCAAATGATTACATCTGCCACAGAATCACACATAATAGAGTATTTATAGGGCTTAAACAGAATAAAAAAATGTAATCAATTGACAGACCCTATAAATGCAAGTAATTGTGTTAAAATATACAGTACTATACAAATATATGAAATAAATATGTACAAATTACTACATATACATACACATGCATATATACAGCTGAGCAAATACAAGAATTTGTTCAGCTTAGTTAAAATAACATACATAAAGGACATGCTGCTGCCAGAAAATATATAAGAATCTCCTGTAGCAGATCTCTACAGGTGGCGCTGGGGAGGAGGAGGGGTAAACAAATGTTCATAATCGTGCAGAAGGGCAACCGCAGACTAGGATACGAAATATATGATTACATGGATTAGGAAGCACGTCTGATTGGTTAATGTCATAGCGTTAGAAGAACCAATCTGTGCCAAGTACACTATGATTTAACAGCTTGTAGAACCACCTTTAGCAGCAATAGCTTGAAGTAACCGTTTTCTGTATGACGTTATCAGTCTCTCACATCGTTGTTAATGGATTTTGGCCCACTCTTCTTTACAACATTGTTTCAGTTCATTAAGGTTTGTGAAGAGAAGAAATGCTCAAAGTCATATCATTTAACTGGTCTTTAATAAAACACCTTTCATACAAAAGTATATGTACAGTGTCACAGCAATTTATGGAAACAAATTTCTTTGTATTTGTCTTAAATACATCATGTATCAACAGTCATTCAAAGAAAATTTAAAAGAGACAGAAAATCAAACAAGGGTTTCAGGCCAGGATGAAATGATGTAAAAGTCAACCATTACTAGTCCTTCCTGACAACGTAGTCCTTTTCTTAAGAGTGTTTATTACATTCATGATGTGATTCTTATGGAAGAGGACTCTTGTGTATACCTGAAAAGCAGATTAGAATAAAGGACACCAAATTATAAATATAAGAATTAAATACTGCTTAGGGGAAAACACAAAATGACTTTTAAAAGTTGTGCAGATGGATGAATATTGTTTTTAGAGGAAATTCCATTGAAGAGTAGTGTGCAAGACAAATCAATGAGGATTAATGCCATAATCGAGACAAAAAAGAAAGAACTGCAGTGAATACAGAGGAAAGGCCATCTGCTCCTCTTCAACAGTATACAGTGCACATCATTTGTATTTTGGTTTTTCTGATAGCTGAATAACTGTATACAGTGGGAAAGATCATTGACATTAAAGCAGCTTCAAGGAAAAAGTTCGTTTTAGAATAAAGATCTCGCAACCATGAAGGTTTTGCCTAAACTGTTGTTGGTAATCTAGGTCTTTTACACCATGTCTATTCTGAAAGTGACTGATGTCGCATGTTTCCACATAGGTATGCCATTTTACTTTGTATAGGTTATTTTAGAAGAACAAAACAATTTTAGACATATTGTTACAACTGCTTATTTATATGTTTAAAAAACCAAAGATGATTTAAATTAATTTATGTAATCAATTTTAGATAAAACAGATGGGAAACAAAGCTGGAGTGGCTGTACAGCACACACACCAAACAAATTGAAACGGGCAAAAGATTGTAACAAAAAGATATTTTTTAAAAATTTAAAAAATTGAGAATTGGGTGCAAAAATAAAACCGGCCCGTCAACAATGCGACACAATGAACACTTCAAGTGTAGACAGATTTGTTGGTTACAATAGGAGCTATTGAGATTTGTTAGGTGGTGATGTGCCACTCACATCCAGTGTTGACAAAGCATCAAACTGTGTGTGAAGCACAGCTGTCAGAATTTAATAAATCTGGGTGAATAAATCAGAGAGAATACAAGGTCTCGCAACAGTCAGACTGGGAAAAAAATGAGATTTGCGCAATATGTGCGTGCATGTTTTTCATCTTCTTGAGGCAGGACTCGGGTGTGCAGCATGAGAAAGGGTGTCATTGGCACACGGACATTCCTCGCCCTTTCCGCCCACCCTGACCAACAGCCATTCCTCCCGCCCCATGGCCTGGTATATATCAGGGTTTGCTCTCAGGTTGATCCGGGTGGACCAGAGCTCCCGCTGTAACACTGTGTGGCGTTTAAAGGGATAGTTCACCCAAAAATGAAAATTCTGTCATAATTTAATAACCATTATGTTGTTCCATACCTGCATGACTTTTTCTTCTTTGGAACACAAAAGATGAAATGTAACATTCTGAAAAGTGTTTCAGTGATTTTTACCTTTTAAAAAATGTTTTGATATTAGCATGTTGATCAATTTTAGCTTGAGCACAAGGATATAAAAACTCAATCTAGACCATTTATAGTTTTTATTTTTTTTTATCTCTACATTAATTGCCTCAGGCCACATTCAAACTTAGGTTTTTTGGGACCCGTTCAAAATTAATATATTATAATGATAATAAATATTAGTATTGCCATTTATATCTTTTTATTTTATTAAATTAAACTGTACAAATTAAACAAACTATTAAAGGAATATACTGAAGTACGAAGCCCCACACATGACTTGTGGGGGAAAAAATATGTATACCGTGGCAACGAATTAACGATTCATTCCCACGATTTACTAATAATAATTATTATTATTTTATTTTACTAAATACTATGTCAAAAGTACTGTTTACTAATATTTATGGCTGTCCTAAATTCTGTGCTCAGACAATTTTGTTCTGTGCTGAGTCAAATGAATCACACCTTTCACCAAAAGGTGACAAGTTTGCAACACTGGTCAAACACTGGGTCCAAAAACACCATTGGATGAATCCAGTTGACTTTTATTGTATGGACCAAAATAGTTCTTCTAAATATCTTCTTTTGTGTTCCACAGAGGAATGAAAGTCACACATGTTTGGACCGACATTAGGGCGAATAAATGATGACAGAATTTTCATTTTTGGGTGAACTATCCCATTAAGACTGCGCATCCATTTACCCAGAAAGACGTCCAACACGCATTTCAACCACAAACATTCTCTTTATTTCACTTTAAAGGATTATAGAAATGCTTTGAGAAGTGCAAATTGGTCAATATTCCAGATATTTCCTAATAATATTAATGAGTATTATAACAATATTAATAATAATATATTTCTTTATGTAATGTCTATATTTGTTGCAGTCAGGGTGAAATATTACGCAGGCTCAGCCTTGTGTCACCAACCAACTTGGACACCCGTCACTCTCTGACCCGTTTTTCCAGGGCCACGTCCTGTCTCCCAGTTATTTTTCAGAGTTCTTCCGAGGCCGTCGGAAGCTAGACATGTTCTCTAGTGCATAGATGCGCCGCGAGACCTCCTCGATCCCGGCGGCGTCGAACTCTCCCAAAACCTGTTCGTCGCACTCGACTGCGATGGCGTGCTCCACCGGGATGCATGGGTAATCGTCCAGTCTGGCGCCGCCTCCCAATCCCAACCCTAATCCTAGTCCCAATCCCAGCCCCGTGGCTTCAGTGCCCATAATCTCCTCCGCCTGCTCTACGGAGCAGCACAGCTCACCTCTGCTCGCAACACCCAATCCCATACCCCCGCTGGGCACGGCCGAGCCGTTCATGGCCCCTGCGTGCTGAGGTGAGGAGTCAGAGAGTAATGTACTGGCTATGTCTGTAGGTACTTCCAGAGGTTTCTCCGTATGTGCCTCGGGAACAGTCTCTCCATCCCCATGAGTTTCTACAGTCTTACCTACTTCCACGCTCGCAATCTCCGTTGACGGCGCTGATGGAATCTCCAGAGTGGTCATGGGATCCGTGGACGGCGCTGATGGAATCTCCGGAGTGGTCATGGGATCAGGTTGTGCCATAGTGGTGTTGTAACTAGGCGGAGGGGTTCGGTATTTCTGTTTATCCGCATCTGAGCCAGACCGCTTCTGGACGTCCCGTTCAGGTGAACTGGAGAGGGTCGGAAATCCCACTTCGGATGCGGTGGAAACGCTGAGATGAGACTTCAGAGGGACGGGGATGGACATGGAGACATGGTGCCTGTCACTGAGAGAGAAGAACAGAAACAGAGGCACACGGTTATGATATTCCATCACCTTTAATTCGCTTCAGAATAGGGAGAGCCAGAAATCGAGGGATGGGAAAGAAACTCGAGAGTGTGAAGATGCTGATGTCAGTGGAGCTCTTTGTTGCTGATGGATCATCTCATAATTCATTTACACACATCCGTAGCCTGGGAGAGCTCAGCAAGAGTCTCTGATCCTCAACCTCACACACACACTCAAACAAATACACTCGCACCCCCCTAAAACACACACAGCTGTTGGACTACATACATCATCTGAAATATGACATCTAGAAAGTAAAACAATTGTATAAGATTAGTCATTCTTCACAAGGAGCTTTCACAGAGAGCTGAAACAAGCTGCAAAGTTATACATGCTAAAACAGTCTAGTTATCTTACATTAACAAAAAATGAATAGCATGTCAGGCTCAAGGTAAAATACCCCATAGATACATTCAAAAGTTTTACATTGATAATGTTAAAAATATTTATTTTTAAATAATGAATTTGCATTCATCAAAGAATCCTGAAAAAAAAGAACATTAAGCAGCAAAACCGTTTTAAACTTTGATAATAATAAGAAATGTTTCTTGACCACCAAATCAGCATATTAGAGTAATGATGCTGAAAAATAATCTGAATGATGCTGAAAAATAAAATGATAAATATATTGATATTTTGAATTGTAATAGTATTTCACATTGTTACTGTTTTTATTATATTTTTGATCAAATAAATGCATAAATGCAATGTTTTTTTTTTAAACTTAAAAAAAGACCACAATCTTTTGAATCTTTTGTGTACCTAAAGAGCAATTATAAAAATTCACTAAGCAGTTATGGATTAAAATGGATAAATGTAGATAAACTGTTAACACTCACATAAAATGTGAGTCTCACAATGCAATGCATTTAAATTGACTTTACATTTGCTTGAGAGAAAAAAACTGGATTTACTAAATACCACTTGTTGAAACATAACATACTGTTTGAAATGTTTATGGGTGTATTATTTCTTTCACATTGATTTTATTTTTCAATTGTAGGCGATATACAATGTAATCTATTGTCCGTATGTTTTTGTGTCTTCATTACAGCAGTGAGGATATTCACTCAAAGCCGTACAGTATGTGTGGTGGAGAAATATGCGGTTTTATTCCTGTGTGGTGTGTCTGGACAGGAACCATTGCTATATGGCAGCTTTGATGTTGTCCAACCGCAATAATAAGCAAAGAAACATGCTCCCAAATTCTTCATCAGTTCACTGAAAACAAACATCTAATGGTTGGCCATGGCGTGTCGTGTACCGTATATTCAGTTTCCCAAATTATTCTTCTTGCACTCTTCCAGACCGCTCAGAACGTAATTAGATCCAGTTTTCAGATGTGAAATTGAGAGAGATGTTCCAAATGAAATGTTACCGTGAGCAAAACCATAGCATTTCAAAACAGCAGTCAGATGTATCTGCAAAGCATTAGGGTGGCGTTCAAAAACGTGTCGGCTATGGTCAACTAAAGACGACCTCTGATTGTCGTTGAACTCCATCTCTTTAGACTAAAATCATTTATATATACGATTACAGATTATAATAAAAAGCTGGTTATTTTAAAATATCTTAATACGACCAACTTATGCATGTGTTACGTAGATATGTAAAACATATGGGCTCCATCTAGCCAAGTGTTTAGACGTCATACCCCCCTAGCAGGGAAAAATAAAGCATTTTTTGTTTGGAGCAGGAGGCTATTTGTTACACAGTGCTTCCCCTTATAAATGAGTTCCTCTAAACATGTGTCAAACCGCAACCCTTAATCAAGAGCAAGGGGCCGGTGTGTGCTGGTGGATGGTGTGGGGCTAAAGATCGCCTGTGCGGTAGAGTCGGGACAGAAGAGGGGGCTTTTTGCGCTCAAGCATGCCAGACTGATCTCCCAGAACCGTCATAATATTTTTCATGCAGCACATTTTTTTCTGTTGGACTTAAACTTGACTTTTAATATGGTAAATGGTAAAATGGACTGCATTTATATAGCGCTTTCACTGACCCAATGGCCACCAAAGCGCTTTACAATTTGCCTCACATTCACCCATTCACTCTCTCATTCATACACCGACGGGCCAATATGGGCCAATTAGGCTGTCCCCACCCCTCCCCTCCCCTCCCTCCCTCCAAGAGCAGAGCAGAGCATTGGCAGGGAGAAGGGAACGCATCTCAGGGCTTCCTGTGTGAGGATGGGTGGTGGTCCGAGAGCGAACCGGAGGGGCTGTGGAAGAATAACGGCGGCAGAGGTGTGTGTATTATTGTGAAAAAGACTCTGGAACGAGAAACAGATTCAAACTACCCAGGAGGAATTTGGGAAACCACAAATTCTCCACAGTTGGGTGAGAAGTAAAAATAAATGAAAAAGGATGACGATAAATAAAAAAGATAGTTTGAATAATGTTTGCTTAAGACCTTACACCTCTTCTACAAACATTACATTAACGGCCCTGCAAATATGTCCGCGTAATAGCATACTAACAAATACATAGACATTCAGATAATAATAATCATAAGAGTATCATCATTTTATAATTATAAAAAATGATATAACTATATAATAATTGCCTATTCTAAAAATGGACAATTATATTATTATGCAATTATAATAATAGAATTGACAATTTTTTTCATTGAAACAATAATATAACTGAAAATTGAATTGTCTATTAAAATATTGTAATCAAAAATAGTAATTTCAGTTAGAAAATGTAGAGGAGCAGCGTTCCTTCATTCGCTTGAGGGTATGACTAGGAAAATGAAATAGGACATTTTCTGTTCTTTTTGGATCTGAGAAACTGAGAGAAGCATCTTTTTCAGATTATAGAAGGGCTGGTCTTCATTCAGAGTCAAGCAGCATCGCACAAATGCCTTTGCGCTAATTTACCTATTGACATAAAAATGCATTGTTTATGGGGGTGACAAATTGTTTCCTGTATTCCCTGTCTGGATATGCACCAGTAATGATGCTTCAAAACGATGACAGGAATGATCAAAGATCCTGCATGTTATGGAGATTGGAGATTTTATGGAGACTGTTTCCGGAAACTTAGGATGATGGCTAAAGTTGTCATGGCGACCGGGTTCTGTAATCGGAATGCTTTCTTGGCGGGATGGCTGAGAGGATTGTAAAGAATAAAGGAACACTGGAGGAACGCTGATGGAATTATGGAGGGACGCTCCACCAGATGTAAGTACAAACACCTATCAGTATGTTATTCACAGAGACAGCTTCATCCCACTGTGCAAATCTGTCTGGACAGTTCCAAGATTTTTCTTCACTCTGATTCAATACCTATAACTTTTTTGTGAGCTGCAACTGAAATAAAAATGAAAACGTATATATATATATATATATAAAAGTATATGTGTGTGTGTGTGTGTGTGTGTACATTGACTTTGAACCAATTCTGTAGAATGGCCCATATACAGAGTTGGAAACGTCTTGAAAAAATGGTGTCTTTTTCCACAAATTTTGTATGTATGCTAATTGTATAATATCCAAGGTACACATTTCAAGTAATTGTGCAGTTAAATTATTATATTGTATTTTCAGAAAGTTTTGGAACATTTTTCCTCACCGAATAATTTAATAAGAAGGCTTATATTGACCTGTTAATATTTTGTTTACATCTACCTTGTAAAAAAACTTTTTTGTTGCTATTGTTTTTTATAAAAGTTTTCACAGGTAAATCAATAACTATTACAATTTTAACACTATTTCAAGTTTAATTTATAAGATTTGTTGTATTTTGAATCCAATCTTTCTTTGTAAAAAAAAAAAAATGTAGGGGTGTGGTTTAAATCAGTCTCAGCCAATGGACTAAAACACACACTGTTTTGGTAGTGACAAGAAAATGCGGGACACATTTTTTTACATAATGTTTCATGATTTAAAAATAAAATATAAAATAAATGTTTGTTTTTTTTATTTCACTTTTTAAAAGAAATCAAAAAGATATTTTTTTCAAAAACAACAATGTAAAAAATGTAAAAAAAACAACAACATTTCTTCTACAATTTTTACAAGTTTAAATTTAGGGGTTAGGGTTCGGGACAAACACCTTCCAATTGAAAGTACTCAATAAATTATGATTTTATATATATATATTAAGCTTACTGATATTTTGAATATTATTGTGGGATTCAATAGATGATAGAAGGATCTTTGTAAACATCTAACATTTTAATATTTAAATGCTTTTTAAATGTGTTTTTTGGTTGTGGGACAGCAGTTTGCACCAATTCTGTAGAATGGTCCATATAAATGTATAATTTTATGTGAGACACCTGTGTTTCAGTGTGTTTCAACCAAGATTGGCTAACTTAAAGTTGTCTTTGCACATTAAACTGGCATAAGAGAAGGTATTTTAACATTGAAAGGACCTATATTTCTAAGTGTACCTACCCAGGATTAAGGGATTACTATGGGTGGACATCTAAAAACATTGTTTGTTATGAATCAGGCCTTCCTTCAAACTATTTGACAGCCATTTATATACTGGATTAGCAAAAGCGTGTTGTGAAAATCTATAATAAAACAGTTGCTTGATGAATCATGTTCCAAAATGGATGGAAAAGAATCCCCCTATGGTGCCAAGTTACAGGACTTACTGTAGGGTGGAGCTTGTGAATTTGGGCCAGCGCTATAGGCTAAATTGGGTGGGCGGGTTTAGATTTTAACCAAAGAAAAACAAGAAGGGTTGAAAAAGATAAAAAGATAAAGATTTATGGTTTGTTAGTGTTGCACTTTCACCAGAGTTCCAGGAGATTCTTCAGAACTTCCAACCCCACCCTAGAGTTTCCATCCTGGGGTGTTGAGTCACATCAGCCCCTTCACTTCCACAGCCCCCCCCCTGCGCCTCCCTGTCTTTACCCGTTCTCAAGAGCTCCACAGTGGGGCTGCAGGACCTCTAAAGCGCTGCCAGAGTCCTGCGCCATAAATAAGAGAATGTTTCGCATATTCGGTTTGAACTCGGCAGGACACGTCATTAACACAGCGGCACCATGTCTTGCACCCCCCGTCTGCCTTTCACCATCTTCGCTCTGTTTCTTCTTATACTCCATCCACTGTTCTAAACTGTGACTTTTTCTCTCATCGTTTTGCTCTTCTTCCCTACTTGGCATCTCAGACTGTTCCCGCTCCAAATGGAAACCGCCAGAACGCATGAAACTGATTATGGCTCCAGAGGAAGGCAGCGAAGACTGAATCTCGCTGACAATCAGTGTTTGAATGGGAAAAAGCAACAGGATGGTGAAAGGATCAGTTAGAGATGTGAGATAAGCAGACTGAGCTTGTTCGACAGGACTCTGCCATGTCAACATTTTAGACTAAACTAAAAGATATGGCACAATCCGCATACAATTTGCACCCACAGAAAGCTCAACAGACAGGAGCGCCTGTCATTTACAAAGTTCTATTTTCCTTAAAAGCAGATCAGAAAATGCAAAGTCCACAGATTCTGCATGGGCTTTGTTGGTCAGCCATTTCTAATAGACTTTAACTTGAGCAAACATTATTTAATGTGACATTTTTAAAGTCACCATGAAATCAAATTGACAAATCTTTTTTTTTTATGGAAGATTGCAGTGTTTTTACAAATGTAATTTAATGTGCCTGCATAATCTTTAATCAAAATAACTTCCTCTCCCACTTGCAGCGACATCTCTTCTCTTCTTTGATGACATGTTTACTGGCGTGAGGGCGGGACAACCTACCACTCACATGAGATCGACCAATAGCAAACCACAATGATCCAATGGATTACCGGTTGACAAAATCAAGGCCCAGTTCGAAGCTATTTCACTCATATATACATCATAATAGGGTAGAAAAGACGATCACAACTTCCGTTTCATGCCGACTTTAATGTGAAAAAAACAAAAACCCAAGTCATATGTGGGATATTCATTTTTTTTTTTTAGATCTCTTACCATTAAGGGTCAAGGGTGACGTGAAAGGAAGCAAAGCAGCATTGTTCATACTGTACATCATCTAGGCATCATTTACCGTGTTTTAAATTCTCTCAGCAAAAGTTTGCTAAAAAAGTTCTGTAATGTAGGAATTGAGTAATTGATACATTTTATTTTAATAATTTTGATCATTTTAAGTCACCATTTACCAAATAACTCCTTTGTTGCTGCCATGTTTATGTCATCACATACACGCAACTCAGCAAAATTTGTTTCCTAGAGTTTCCAAGTTGGAAAAATTGAGTCCAACTTTAATGTGAGTGGAGTTTAGCTGCATTTTTTCCAAAATAGGAAGTTGGAAATTCCAACAATTGGAACACAGCATTAAGGTCCTAGGTAACATCATATTAGGTTACAAAAGACCTTAGATTGACACCCAGATACACAATAGTACAATAGTACAACACCTTGAACTTTGGGTTGTAAAGGACAGACAATGTCCAAACTGACAGTTTACTTTGGTTCCATTCAAAATAAATATGCTAACAATGTCATAATGGAAATTATCATGGATCAGTGTTATCATTCAGACTTGGTGTGTCAAATAGTGTATTCCCAAAACTATTCTGAAAAACTTGGAACCAGTTAGTTTTCCCTGAAAAAAGAGCTTTACTTTATCGTCCAGTCTGTAAATTGAGCTGAAACGCATGCTGAGTCCAGGTATCTGAGCCAACGGTTCTGCCAAAGGATCAAATATTAATAACCTCTTGTTCAGAAATTCAGTTGTTAGACATGCAACGTGCAAAACTCCTGAACACACAATGTACAATGTATGTGTTCCTACCGTCAACTTTTATAACAAATTTGAACAGATCAAACAATTTCATTAAGCCTGTCTCGAAAACTCCACCATCTCCCTTTACTATATAAACGTCCATTGGGATTAAGGAAGAAGGGCAAAATAAATCTTCATATTTTCCCAAAACGAACTCCTCTGAATCCGCAGAAGTTCTCATGGTACACCTGCGCAGTACTCCCACCATTCCCATTTCTTCCCGTGCTTTCTCTGCGATTCCCTTCTTTTTCCCTCTAAGGACCTCCTGCAGCTGCCCTGACGCAGATTTTTATGCGTCGATAATTCACATCTCTGGCCCCTGCCCTGGAAACATTATCTAAACTGAGAGGGGAGGGAGTGTAGGAGAGGAAGTGGATGCAAGGGTAATAAAAGCAGTCTGCAACAAACGGAAAATAAAAGAATCCATTTACTCTATGTTTCATATTTCAGCTCTGGATCCAGAGAGTTGCTTCCTGCGCTGGAGAACGAGTCTAGACCTCGTGTTTGACTCACTCAGGAGTCAACGCTAGCAGACCGCCAATCTGTATAACGTAACATGATTCTTAGAGGGTCTCAATGTGCTGTAAGTTATGGTTTACGGCTGCGGGGCCGTATAAGGAAGATGTCGAAAGGAATGTTCTGCAGTTTTGTGTTTGGGTATACGGTCCCCCCTCCCCAGGGGAGACGGAAACTGCTCTTTCACGGTTCTAAGCGTACCGTCGAGTCAACATGACTGCCCTCCAGGTTCGCTTAGCCATGCGGCGCAACCGCCTGTTCACCGGACTTCCACTTCCTCCTTTACTTCCTGCCACTCTGTACAGTTCAAAAGGTCAAAAGGTCATACTTTCATCTTTTCCATCTTAAGCGTTTCCACAATCCATTAAACATTTACTTTTGGGGCGGGGTGGGGGTTACTGAAGCATTTTACTTACACTGGCCTCCTTCCTTTCAAAACACAGATTATTAAATTAACGTTCAGATAGATGGTTTATCTATCACTGAACCAAGAAAGAGCTGGAGAGATCCAAAGCAGGCTTTTTTAACGGTGTGTTTTTGACTGCCATTGGTTTTAAAGGGATACACTTGGGAATTTGTATCATTACTGTTGTAAAAAATGCTAATTTTGTTGCTTTCTCAAGCTGGCTAGGTTACTTCAGCGGTAAATCATAGTGCATATCAACAGTTTCCAGATTTAGAAAGCAAATGTTCTCTTTATAAACCTTTTAGATACAATGATTTACCAGTTCGAAAACAATCATAAAAATAGCTTCTTGCTAGGCATTAATAAAAACAAGATTTTCACATTTTCTGAAAATTTATATGAATATAAGTAATATTTAAAATTTTCTAGGGAAAATATGACTAAATATGTAAAGAAAATATGAAAATGAACAAAGAATATGTTTACATTTTCTGAAAAATCAAAGTACAAATATGAAAAGAAAATATAAAAAATATGAATATTATTTTTACATTAAAAATTAAGACAATATAGAAAAACATATAAATCAAATATTTTTATATTTTCTGAAAAATATAAGTACAAATATAAATAGAAAAATTAAAATAATTATACATGTTATGGATATTTTTACATTTTCTGTAGAAAAACAGGAATTATGAAAAATATAAATATAAGAGAAAAAAAAGGTCAGTGCTGTTCAAAGATATATATATAACTACAGTAGTTGCCAGAATGTTGCTATGCCGTTGTTATGATGTTCTGGGTTTTTGCTAGGTGGTTACTTGGTTACTGCCAAGTCAAAAGAGCCCACTCCCAAGCCTCTATAACATTCTAGTCATTAGATGGCTTGGGTCCCTCGTTTAAAATAAGTATATTTTTTGCCAGTTTTATCACCCACCACCACACAAAAAATAAGTCTGATCACAAATTGAGGTATACTTTATGTCCACAGCTTAGCAAACACCAATAATAATGTTATATAACTCACCATCTTACAAGTAGTCCATGCTCTAGGAAGTTTTTGAGGTTGGGTAAAGTCTGACGTAGGTCTGGGGTGGAGAGCCCATGCTGGTACCTCAACTGTAGAATGAGAAACACAGAGGAAATATGTTTGTTACAACCATCATCACCTGTCTGAACGATGAGTATACAGTCACTATATTGCATCACCTGGGCATCATGCCATCAGCTAGTGCAGCAGGTTAATGCATTACCCCACAGGTGAACATACTGCGCACACACACACAAAGGATTTCCATCTGCAGATGTTTAAGTTATTTAGTCTGCATGCTGCAGAACCACTGACAGGAGACATTAACCAGCTCCTGGTTCTCTTAAGTTTCAAATTAATATTTAATAAAGATGGGGTCATAAAAAAAAAGAGAATTTTTTAAAGAGTGAAAGCAGTCCTAGAGCTGTGCAGGCATTTTATATATATATATATATATATATATATATATATATATATATATATATATATATATATATATATATATATATATATATATATATATATATAAAATACACATTAATTTATAAGAGATGAAAGATGTTTAGTCAAAATAAATACTAGACTGATCTGTGGACCTAACAAGTACAATCGCTCAGTCTAATACACTGGCCATCATTGTTCTCTGACATGTTAACATCAACACACACTACAACAACCACAATAATACAGCGTGAGTGTGTGTGTACAGATGGGGATGGGATGTAGGAGGGGAAAAAAGACAAAGATAAGAAAAAGGAAGTGAGAGAGAGAGAAATGGCACACATCTGGAACTAATGAAAGACAGGAGGGGGGAAAAAACCCACAACTCTTCCCCAAAAAGCAAGATTTTCTCTTGCTCTCCTTAAAAAACATACTTCCTTCCTGGACTATGGCATTGACAAAACTGTCTTTCCCAAGAGCCAAAATCCAAACAGTCCCCCAACAGTAAGCGAGAATTAAACAAGTAACAGTAAAAGTAACAATATTTTTAGAAAATCACAGCACCCCTTTTGGCTTGGAGGTGAAACGCAACAATAGCAGTCAATTTATTTGAATTGAAAAGCAAGTGCATGAGGTCTCAAGGGCAACTAATGCATTAAGGACACTCCTTGACAAACATCTGGTTTATCTGGCCGTATGGCAGCACCCTCTGTATGTCTTCATAAAACCTGATCAATCATAATAACACTGTGATAGATGATCCGCATGTGATTTCAATTACAACTGATACTGCTGCCACGATCACACTCCTACAGGCCAAGAATTCAATAGGGATACCAGGGGTGAGAGAGAAAATGAGAGACAGAAATACTTTGGGAAATGGAGTAGGTGTTAACTAATTACAACATGGAGCAAAAGCCATTTCCATTAGTTCGCTAGTGCTCTGCTACAGGCCAAAAAAAAAAGGACTGTTTATTTCATAATACTGGACAGAAATTGGGGAAATGAGCATGTTACATATACATTATCAATATATATCCATTATCAACCATAATGGTAAAACTCAACATAAAATTGGCCGATACGGCACCAATATAAATTCAAAAAATATTTAGGGCTTAATGTATTTGAATTGCATAGACATGGTTTTAACATTAACAAACTAACAAAATTAATGTGATGCCTATTTGTCAGTCATGTGTATTGTGCAAATATCGTAACGTTAGTAGCAGTATAACATCATTTCAATACCCAAGTCTTTGTATTCATTGTGCTATTTCTGTTTGCCTCCCTAGAGCAACTTGACATCACTGTGAGTGTGAATATGTGTAGTTTCTTTTCAACAAAAGAACCCCTGGGATCTACCTTTTGTTTCTTTATAGAGGGCACAGTTCCAAGTCTCCGCTGGTGATGAAATGGTCAATTCCGCACAGAACTAACAGCCTTATTCATTCATGGATAAAAGTACACCTCTGGCTTTGACCAGATGACCATGTGCTGGGATCCGCATGTGGACCAAAAGGAAAAAGGACTTTGGATGTATGTGCCAACAGCAACAGCATTCCGTATTAGAATCAGAACGGGGTGTACCACTTATGCCTGGCCGACGGCCTAAAACCATATTTGTTCAGTGTTTCTCTGACAAAGATACTGATTAGATTAAACCCAAAAGTCGGTGAGAGTTTCCAGAAAAGTGAAACTGAAAATGAAGTAGGACGGACATGGTTGAACAGCCAAACACACAATCCAATCCGACCCCCTCGTAAAGCGTTGACTCGGCGTGAATGTTTTTACGAACCGTCACTAATGCTAGGAAACGTGGCTTTCACTCTGTGGTGAAGAAGACGATCATTATCGGTTTGCCTGATGAGCTTCCCTGATGAGGAGTCTATAGGTCTGTTCCAAAACCTGAAAAATGCTTGCTTTGCAGGCAGAAGATAACTAGTTTTGGTCAAATTTTAATGCAGCATTGCAAGTTTCTCCAAAAAAAAAAAAAAAAAAAAAAAAAAAATCCAGAATGTATTGTGAAAAAAATGTAATAAGCACAAAGAAATCTTGTTTAGAAATATAGTTCATTCAATGTAGAAGAGCTTCAATAAAAATAGCTTAGTGTAATTAAAATGAGATATTTGTAAGTGTAAATGTGTTTTTATGTTCATTAGAGTAGCATACTGTAAGCTTAGCGAAATGCAAACATAAAGCTTTATTGAATCACTTGTGTGTTTAGTCTTCAACGCAAAGTGATATTTGATAAAGTGATATTATATATCAGTCACGTATAAGATTACATGGTGGTTATAATGCTCCCTTAGTAGGCAGCATGCAGCACACTAGTTTTTGGAACAAAAACTATTATAAATAAATTTTTAATCACACATTTTTTACTTTTAATTAATGGAATCAAATACACTACCAATCAAAAATTTCATTTACAAAATGTTCATGCATTTCAAAGAAATACTGTTCTTTTGAACTTTCTACTTATAAAAAAAATCCTAAAACAAAATGCATCACTGTTTACACAAAATTATTAAGCAGCACAACTGTTTTCAACATTGACAATAATAAGAAATCAACATATTAAAATGATTTCTGAAGGATCATGTGACACTGAAGACTGGAGTAATGATGCTGAAAATTCAGCTGTCATCACAGGAATAAAATAAATTTAAAATTTTATTAAAATACAAAATTATTGTAAATTGCAAATCATTTCACAATATTACTGTTTTTACTGTATTATGGATTCAACAAATGCAGCCTAGGTGAGCATAAGAGACTTCAAAAGTATTAAAAAAAAATCTTACTGACCCCAAACCTTTGAACGTTAGTGTAGATTTATATTTATTTGATATACTTTTTCTGCCATCTTGGATTTATTTCACTGAGCTCATCACAATGCATTATGGGATTGGTTTTTCGGTGAAGGACATATGTGGCGCTGCCTTAGTATTTAGCCAAAAAAATTGGCCCATGATGCCTTATAATACTGTCTCAGCAGGCATATCACTAGTTTTAGAACGGAGCATTTGTGTGTGTATTCATTCAAGGATTGTAATTCTTCCAAAACTGAGACCTGAAATGCAGCCAAGGGTGTTGATCTGAAACCCGATAGGAAGCTCAAGGAAGAGCGGAATCGTGACATCATTGGATCGAAAGGGGCACATCGTAATTGTTTCGACTGTAGGCTTGCGTCAGTGTGTGTGTCCTAGAGTACCATTGTGAGTGCCTCCTCCATCTGCACGCCAACCCTTCTCATATCACATAAACAACAAAATCCCTTTTTATTCACACATATACGAGCATATAAACGGACAAAAGGAAAGATATGTTTTACACCGTAAAAAAAAAAAAACTGAAGTAGCATGTCGATAATTCAACTAGTAGTCATTAATAATCACCCACCCACTCCCTCGGGCAGCCTGCCCCTACAAAGCATTACGGGAAAAGAAATCTGCTCCTGCAATCTTGCAAGTCAAAGGCATTTGGCATGGACATTTGATTTCATTACTGGCTTTGTTCATCCTTACAATTTTTGCTACATGTGTTTAATAGCCGAGCACATCTGGCCCACGAGCCCAACGCTGGCGTGCTGCGTGACGGAGGTATGCGTGCTCCTCTTTCCCCTGTGTGCTTCACATTACACCGTAGCTTGAGTTGCAGCGTTTGTGAACTGCTTTTGGCAAAGAGCGCTGAGATAGATTAAAGTATAAACCTGGACATAAAGTATTTTTAAGCAAACAACTGCCCTTTTCCCCTCCCTAAGCTCGAGGACAAACAAATAAATATCCAGAAGACCGAAAAACGTGCCATCGGCGAAGACAGTAGTTGCGTCTTGGGGAACTTGGCCCTGCACGGATCGGCACGTCGGTTAATTAAAAACGACAGCCTGACTTGCTGACAAGTTGAAGCAACAAACAGTGCAGCGGGTGGCACTGGGTTCTCGCAAATAGAGATTTAAAAATGTATGAAAGAGAAGAGAGAGACTGACACGACAGTATATTTAGTTTTTCTTTCGCTCTGCACAGTTTTAAATCAAAGCGGGTGCTGACAGACAGAGCAAAGTGAATCATGGGTGAATGATGTGTTGTTAGTGTAATGACGGAGGTATCTGCTGTGATTTAAACCTTGGTGAGGATTTCGATAAACATTATAGTGCAGGGTCATTTGAAAGTATGTGTAAGCTACTGAATTATAAAAAATATGAGGATTCAAGGTGTTGCCTTTTTTCCCTTGTGGTTCTATGGGTTGTTGTTTGCCTGAGGTGTTCTGTTTGTTTTTGATGCTGGTATTGGAATTAGAGAATAACTGTCATCTGAGAATAACACTAAAGTTGTGGATGCATGCTGTGTGTACGAATGAAAACGATATAGGATCATTCATACTGCTATATAGGTGCTCTAGACTCCTACCGCACATTCTCCAGACTCGACTCAACCAAGGTTCTTGAATTTCTTCCATGGATGGGAATAGCCACATAAATGAAATGGCCAAATTGGTTGTGGATAAAAGACAGGTGGTTTTCCAAGTGCAGGTTTGAAAAGGTGCATGGGATACTACAGCAAACGAACATATCTTGATGTCCCAGTAACATGAGAAGCTCTGGAATGAGTTGGGTCACGACTTGAACATTTTTAACATATTGGTC